AGGGAATTTAGGAAGGATTTGATTTTGAACAATTTGGTCTCGTGTGCTGTTACGGGTATGAGGGCGGTTGTCACTTCCCGGCTGCCCACACCGTGGAAGGTTGTTTCTTGACGAACCTGAAAAGGAAGATGGATTAGTATTGGTGCGTGACCGCAGAGCCCAAGGGACAACTGCTTGAGGCCGGTCACGCACGGCCTTTTTATGAAACGTTTTTTGAGGATTAGCTCCGTTCTTAAAGGCCCTTAGTGGGCACCCTTACCCAAGGAGACGGAAATCCGTGAGGTAGGGGAGGTGTGACATTTTTAGGGCCGACCTTTTCTAACCCTTCCTTCCTTGTGAGAAGGCAGCATCGCTGCAGATGCTGGTTGTCCGAGGGAAACACCTTACTGCTGTCACACCCCTCTGCAGTCAGCAGTACGACTTCGCCCTCAGACCTTGGGTAGCTGCTTTTAGTCTCATCGTTCTCCAATCGACCTGCCTGGCATGGTAGGACCTGCAGGAACATGTGTTCCAGCCAGTATAGCTCGGTTGGGTCATCACGATAGGCAAGCCCGACCACCACGTCAAGGTAGCAGCTTCGTTCGGGTTGCTTAGGGTAGTCAGAAGACTGCATTTTGTCAGCGTCTTCAACGAATAGGACTACGTCATCAGCATATTCTAGGTCAGAAAGCGTGTCTCCTGGTAGAAGGTCCAATCCTGAAAAGTCAGACGATGATAATGTTAAGTCTAAAAGCATGTCTACGAAAAAGTTAAACAAGAATGGGGAGAGTGGACAGCCCTGAAGGATACTACTTGAAGTAAGGAATTCCGATGACAGTTCACTACAAGCTCTCACCCGATCAGTGGTGTTCGAGTAGAGAGCTTGTATAAGGTTGATGTACTTCTCTGGTACATCTTTTAATGACAGACACTGCCACAAGACCTCACGATCCACAGAGTCAAATGCCGCTGCTTTAAGGTCGAGAAATACTCCTATTGTGGGGTGTCTGAACGTGTGCTTGTATTACAGGATCTGACGTAGTGTGAACATCTGGTCTATACATCCACGTCCAGGTCGAAAATCAGCTTGGTTTTCTCTAGTCTGCTCTTTTGTCCTTTCTTATAGATTGGGACAATCAGTGATTAAAATAATTTATATGATATTACGCTTAATTCCCAGATTCTACCTAAGATCTCGGTTAATCTAATTGATAAACCTGGCCCACTATCCATAAACATCCCAGGGATAAGCCTCTCAGACCCTGCCGTTCTCCCTCGCTTTACATTTCCTATAGCTTCTGTTTCACATTCCTCTACAGTTAGCAGTACGACTTCGCCCTCAGGTCTTGAGTACCTGTTTTTAGTCTCATCGTTATCAAATCGACCTGCCTGGCATTGTAGAACCTACAGGAACATACGTTCCAGCCAATATAGCTCGGTTGGGTCGTCACGATAGGCAAGCCCGACCACCACGTCAAGGTAGCAGCTACGGTCTGGATCGATTGTATTCTAGTTTTAATTTATGCACTTCATACAAACAAAATAGAATTGTCAATGTACAATAAATCATTTAGCATTAGAAACAATAAACTAAAAATCCAAACGATACAACAATAACAAGAACAACAGAAAAATATTATGATAAAATTTGAACTTTCTGTTCACCTAGTTAGTTCAATAAATAAATTTATAAGAACAATCAATGTCAAATCTTTATAAACATTAGATAGGGTAAAAAGAAAATAGGTAGAATTACTTTAATGTTAGTAATCGAATTCTTTTGATTCCTGAGATAAATATAATTGATGGGTAAATGTTATATTTTTCTCATATGATAAATGTTCTAGTCAGTGGTGCAGATATTGGCTTCAATGGTTGATTACGATGTTGATGATAATTAATTCGTCGCTGACATATGAGATGTTGTCGTTCTGATGCTCTACCACGTCGTAAAATATTATTACTACTAGGACATACTTGTCTATCACAATGATGACTATTGACATGATCTAAATAGTTCGTTGTATTTATTATGCTCATGAATTCTTCAGAGTAATGTTTATCATTACATTTTGTTGAACTAACAATTGAACGTGATCGTGAACTAGTATTCTTTCCTAAAATATCTACCCATTTACCGATGTCGCACACCGTCCAGTGCTACCAGTAAGTAACTAAGATCAGTTCGTGATTTCAATTATGAAAATGGACAAACTAATTAGTATTTGTGTTAAATCACAACTCGACTTACCCACTGAATCGACAGAATCTTCGAGGGAGTTTTATACAATTTATAAAGGCATAAAATATTGCTAGTCATGTGAGGCAAAAAAAAAACTGTAATTCTTGTTGATTTGTGTTTAATCCATCGACATGTTAATGATTTTAAGACTGCACACACGTATTTTTAATGAAAGAAAAAAATTGCTTATTTAATGACTAATACATAGGACAAAATAACATACAATCCCAATAGGTTTCTGAACATAAACAATAGCAGTCAATTAAAATTAAAGCAAAATAAATCAGGTAGTAATATAGATTAAACAAATCGATATAAAGAAAATTATCAATAATATTGCGGAATAAAATAATTACGAATATACTACTCGTTATTATAAATAGTATTAGTAGTAGTGGTGAGATAATTGAACAAGTTTGCTAATTATATACACTGGATTCTGTCTAGTGAGATCATGAAATTGACAGTGAATGTTTATTGTAATCTGTAAAAAAGTAGCAGATAAACAGAAACAACATAATACAATTATGGAAAAAAATGTGTATATTTATTTGTTAAACTATTAAAGAAGAAAAAACACACATTAACATGAAATCTTTGAAAATCTAATTCACAAAATGATTTTGATGAAAACGACCATTAGAATAGTGAACAGGTTTGTTCTGTTCTTCTCTGGAGATTTCACGGTTGGGGTTAGTATAGGTTTGTGAAAATTGTTGTCTAATAAAACTAATCAGTGAAATGTGGTACAAATGCACTACTACTGTTGAGTTGTTGTATGAAACAGTTGTCTAGTTTTAACTGATCGCCTAAATAAAATTCGCTCGTATGGTTGTTCTAAATTGACTAAAATCAATACTCCTCCATAAATCCTATTTCATGCATAAAAGTTAAGTTATGTTGTAATCTCATAAAAGAATAATCAAATAGAAACTCACTTATACTGTGAATCAATAGGCCAAATTGGAGGTTTACGATTCATAATAGTCTGTAAGAACCAATCAATGGAGACTATGACAAACGAAGAGAAAGCGCGTAAAATTGGTGTGATTTTCTCGTTGGATTGTTTAAAATTTCTTGAAAGTCGAGACGTTCGACGAGATGATTTTGAATTTAACAATAACATATTATCATATTCATCTTTGGTTGTGATAATAACTGACTTTATAGGCTAGTTAGTTGATGATACGAATAACACAGAGAGAGAGAGAGAAACAAAAGGATTGTCTCAATGTGAAACAGAATAGTAGGAGAAGAAAATATTTAACAGAGATCTATCTGTAGCGGCTAGCAACGGAGTATTTATTTTTTATCAAAACTATTAATGGAAATTAGCACAATGTGAAACAATGTAGCTGTTTGCAACTTTACAGCTTTCAAAAATGAATTTGCCAAAATGAGAACTATTATTTACTGAAACAAACTATTGCTTCATAAATCTATAGAATACTCAATTGAAAGTGACAGTTAACAATTAGTCGAACTCCGCCCAGGAGCACTTATGGAGTTACTGCTAGTCCAAAGCCCAGACAAAAAAGAGAAGAATTGAGCATAGGATAAACGACTCCACCCCATAGAAAATTAACACGCTACCCAGAAGAAATAATGCTGGTCGATGACCTATGCTCTATTAGCTGTAACAGGAATAATTAGGCGAGTTAGTAAGTAATGTTTTGTCTAGCTTCACCAGTTTGTATGATGTTTTAAGCCAAGACTACTGATGAATCACCAAACATGATGAATGCTTAATAGGATGAAATGCATACCTTAGGTCCTAATGCTAATTCTGAATTCATCTATCCGTGAAAAAAAATCACACCCTGTTAAGCAGTCACAACTAAAATATTAATAGTTCAAATCACGAACTGATTTGAACAAGAAAACCGTTAGAAAGTGGGAAGTATTGAATAGCTGTCTCGTCCTAACATAGGACACCTTCAACGGTACCTCTGGCACTGCACGCAAACGTTTAAATTCTAGACAACGGAGTTCACATACAATAGTGTTAATATGTAACTTCAAACAATCCATGATGTTGCACGAAATTCATCAATTGCCTGCTGCAGATAACTGTCTTCTGCCGGACAATCATTCAACTCCCTACACTAATCACAACTCGTTAGAATTCCTGCGTGTGGTAGTTATGGATAAGGACTGCTGAAAAGTCCAAAATCAGGTAGAAAAAGCAACTCAGTTCGGGTTTTGAACTTTTAAAAAGAATAAAACTTCTCTAGAAATCCACCTCATTTATAATAATAATAATTATTATTATTATGATTAGTATTATTATACTAACAAAAATATAGAGAAAAACATTTTACCAAAGCGTCGTAATTATTGACAGTATTGATTAAATCTTCATCAGACATCCAATAACCACCAGCAAACTCTGTAAGCTTTTGTAAATCCATTGAAGATGGTATAATATTCGGAGTTGAATAGAAAGACCAACCAGTTAGAAATTGATTTGTTTCTTCAAATTGTTCCGGTTGTTGTTTATCAACAGACAATCTTATCATCAATGAAGAAGATCGATGTCGTAATGATTGTCTATGATTAGAAATCATATTATGCATAGACTGTGTATCATGAGAATAATAATAATGCAATTGGAAATTCAACGGATCTAATGGTGTAATGTTATGATGTTTTGTTGTTGTTGTTATTGTTGTCGAAGAGAAAGTATTCCATACATGCAAATTATATAAACAGAAAAAAAGTTTACAAATAATTTGAAGCAATACAAAAAATACAATCAATATAAGTAAGAACAACATAGACAGAAACGATTCATATTATTGTCATCATGATTTACTCTCTAGCATACATGATATATTGATATGAAAATGTTAAACTAATCAAGACAATTTATTTATGAATCAGCTGCTCGTATAGAGATAGCTCGATTAGGCGTATTAGGCAGTTAATTAAACCAACCAATCAGGGAACAACTTACAGCATGGCTTGAAAAGAGCCAAATCAAAAGAAAATAATATGCAGATCTATATTGGTACATCTGACTGACTGTGATCATATAATAGATTAAACCGAGCGATTTTTAGTGATCTAACATGTACTTACGTGAGTTCTCAAAGGGGTTTCATCCTGTCTCTTGTATATATGGCATAAACTATTAGGAATCCGAAGCTTTGACCCGATAAGAAACTCACAGCATCTCCCTTGGTTGGATATGACCAAATAAACTGGTTTATTTCATTACTATTATTATCTTTGTTACATCTTTCATTTCTTGGTTATAAAAACTGATACTACTACTTATATGTAGTGAGATCAGTGAATATATAATTGTTATATTGTCATCATCCAGAAGATACAAGTGTTTATGAACAGTTGTCTACGCAAAATACTTCAGATTCGTTGGCCAGACACCATCAGCAACAACGAACTGTGGGAGAGAACAAGTCAGATTCCAGTGGATGAGGAAATCAGGAAGAAGCACTGGAAGTGGATAGGACACACACTACGAAAAGCACCTAACTGCGTCACGAAACAAGCCCTCACATGGAACCCTCAAGGCAAAAGGAAAAGAGGAAGGCCAAGGAATACATTACGCCGAGAAATAGAGAAAGATATGAGAGGAATGAACAAACATTGGACAGAACTGGAGAGGGAAGCCCAGGACAGGGTTGGTTGGAGAAAACTGGTGGGCGGCCTATGCTCCATTGGGGGTAACAGGCGAAAGTAAGTAAGTAAGTGGACACACATACATAGGGAGGAGTAATCGGACTTTGCAATCAAGGGTTGTGGAACATGTACCTAAGTGACTTCAAAATCAGTTAACGTCAGATGAGCCGATTAACGTTGGAAATAGAAAACCATGTTCATCGATCGCCAAACACATAATTGAGACAGGGCATAAGATTGACATCAAGACAGCCTTCAAAACATTGTATATAAATGTTGAAGGACGAATTTTGAGATTTATGGAGGCCTTGGTGGCTATTAGAAAATTAAAACTCACTTTTGTGTGCAGAAACCATTTGTCATAACCTTGAATTTACCTTGGTGATCTTTAAGCCTAGGGTAATGTGACAATTTTCCTACCCCTTCTTATTCTTTTCATATCACGTTAATTTTCTCTTTCCTTCATTTACAATTATCACCCTATGTCTATTTGAACTTTTATTTAATTGACCTTTTATTCATCTTCATATAAAATGCCTTGACAAGTAAATATGTGTGACCAGACTGTTCGAAATGTATAGCGCAAATACATCACATTATTTTTTCAGATCAATTACGTCTTCTCACTGTTCTATCAAAATTTATAAAAGGGACTAATTGTTCTAAACATGTTAGTTTCGCGGGAAACCAACTGCCTGAAGCTTCTTGTTCAAGCAAACGCACAAGATCACATTTCAACCTACTCTAGCGACCCATTTTAGAAGTCACGTTTTATGCTTCCTTTACTCCATTTAAAAATCACTATCGACTTCCTTGTGTACGTACGAGATACTTGGGAAGTGTCCCTGTCCAATCTCGTTCGTACACTGGCGTGTGACCATCCTGTGTGGATTGCCTCGATATAACTACCATGTTACAAATTGATATGCAAAGCAAGATTGATCGAATTTCAATCAAAAGCATGATGATCTAAACTATTTTGAAATGAATTAAAGAGAGTGCAGTCTTATTAGGATAAAAAAAAACTAATCAGATATTCCTGTTAGTATAATCCTTACCTCGAAATTATCCTGGTGGCCCGATTGTACGCGAGCCATACTTAATGAGCAAAGGAAGATTGTGATTGGTTATTTAATTACGGGGTTATTTACCTAACAGATTTATGGATAGTCAGATGTTTGAAGAGTCACATCTATTTTTATCGAACAATAAGCAGATGTAATTGATCTGAAAAAATGTGATGCATTTGCGATATACATTTTGAACCATTTGATCACACATTTACTTGTTAAGGCATTTTATATACCATTGTTAACACGTGGTTAGGCTAATCACATGTTCCTGCTCTATGGTTTGTCGAGGTCTAATTGTAGAAAGAAACTATAGCAAAAATACCTTTGCTAAAATCCTAATTACCTAAGAATATTCTTTATTCTTTAAGGTCACTTGTCATGTGCAAAGTAAAGCAAGACAAACCTTATACTTATAGCATCTCACCATTTATTCATTATATTTCAATGATTAGTCGTTTAAATTATTTGATAATGGTATCGATCATAATTTTTTATTTGTAATAATTCGATCACAGTATTGATTATTGTAGGTTTGATTGTGTGTGCATGCTTAATCGCCTATTATTGTTTGACTACAAATACGTAGTCACGGAGAGTTGGCTCATTCACCTTCTCCAATTCGCCTCGCTTTGCTTTGCTTGTACGCTTCCCATTCTCATGTTTGTCTGCATAAATGATTGCATGTAATAAATTCATCCGCGAAACCGTATTTGGCTTCTTATTACCACTGTTGCACAAACGGGGTTAGCCTAAGAATAATAAACGGAAATGGTAAGGAAGACTTATTTCATTGCACACTCGATCATTCGTCCACATCAGAGTCCAGTCGTGAGCCGTCAGTTGACCGCGAAACATCTGATCTACTATACAGGTGACACACAAATTAATTTAAAGATTTTTTTGGATGGAGTTTCGTTCTCTGAGCTAGATGTTTGTTCTTCTGAACAACATCATCACAAACTTCAGATAGGAACATTTTGGTGTTATCCACTATGCTATTCAGCTAAAAGATTGTCTGATCAACAGTGTATAACTACCGAAATTTTAAAAGGATAATTGTTTCATTAAATCCTAGTTTAAAATTTGTCTACATTGTGTACCTTAGCTAAAAAAAATCTACAACGTCGGAACAATGGTGTACTCAATAATAATTCTTTAATATTTGATTAAAATAATATTTAAAATTAAACCTATCTTTTCTAGTAATTACAATGTTGTGTGTTTTTTTATTCAAAAACTTCTTTTTCTAAAAAAAACAGTTGGACCACCGGTAGGTGCGTCGATTTCAACTTATGGACGTGTAGTAACTTTTAAACACACTGGTGGCAATATTTTAAAATGTACATTTGCTGAATTATGTGATACGGTGAGTAGATGAGAATTTTCTTCGCACATTATTGAGTCAGTCAGTCAGTTGCAACGTAGAACTTCGTACGTAAGTACATCAGTTCATGTCGCCATACCACATCAGCACAGAGATATAATTGTCAATTCGAATCCAATAGTAGTAGAGGTAGTAATGGTATTAGGAGTAATCGGAGAGGTTAGGATTAGAAAATATTATTCAAGAAGTATGATTTAATGAGAAAAGTTTAGAAAGTCAAAACTAGAGGTGTTGAAGAACCCAGAAGATTAGGATTTGAGAGAACACAAAGCATAAATGCACTGGCGCCATTGCAAACGATTTTGAGCCATGTCATTCAAGGTCTCTAACCATCTATAATTATCATCTCGCGGACCCCAACCAGGTAGTCGACAATTACCGACATGGCTAAGTCCACTCGTCAATGACTTCATGGATTTCTGCCATGTTTTGGTCTGGCCACCCCTAGCTTTCTTCCAACTTATTCCTACACTACAAAACAAAGCTCGACGAGGCAGTCGGTGGTTAGGCATACGCAACACGTGTCCCATCCACCTCAACTGATGAAGTTTCATTACTTCATCTATTGATCTGCCATTCTTACCTAGTACCCGATTCCTAATAACAGCGTTGCTCACTCGGGTGTCCCACGATATACGAGCAATGCTTCGAAGACACCTATGATCGAAAACCAATAACCGACGAGTATCTTCTACTCTCAATGGCCATGTTTCACAGCCATAAAGTAAGACGGAGCGAACCACTGCACAGTACACTCGTCCTTTAGTCAGCAAACGGATATCTCGCCTACGCCATAAGTGACGCAGGTTGGCAAAAGCCAATCGAGCCTTCTGTATCCGTGCTGAGATTTGGTCAGTCACCAGGCCATCAGCACTGATGAGACTCCCAAGATAAGTGAAGCGGTCTACACGTTCGACCACTTCACTCCCTATCACTAGTTCAGGTGCCGATGACACCCAATCTTGAAGCAACATTTTGCATTTCGAGGGGGAAAACCGCATCCCGAACATGCTTGCATTGTTGCTTAGGGTAGTCAGAAGACTCTGCATTTTGTCAGCGTCTTCACCAAGTAGGACTATGTCATCGGCATATTCTAAGTCAATAAGCGAGCCACCTGGTAAAAGGTCTACTCCTGAAAATTCAGACGAGGACAAGGTTATTTCTAGGAGCATGTCTATGGTAAAATTAAACAAAAATAGAGAGAGTGGACATCCCTGACGGACACCACTTGAAGTAAAGAATTCCGGTGACAGTTCGCCATAAGCTCTCCTGGACCAGTGGTGTTTGAGTAGAGAGCTTGTATGAGGTTAATGTACTTCTTTGGTACACCTTTCAATGACAGACACTGCCACAGAACCTCACGATCCACAGAGTCAAATGCCGCCTTAAGGTCCAGGAAAACAACTATTGTAGGACGCCTAAATGTGTGTCTGTGTTCCAGGACCTGTCGTAGTGTGAAAATGTGGTCTATACAGCCACGTCCAGGTCGAAAACCAGATTGGTTTTCTCGAGTTCGCTCTTCACGAGCTTTCGTTAAGCGTCGAAGTATTACTGAAGCCAATATTTTAGATACTATATTAGTTAGACTTATTCCTCTATGATTGTCACAAAAAGACTTCTGCC